TGAAAATGCTTGTAAGGCTTTGATGTCCTCTGACTTCAGTGGTGCCCATCAAGTGCTTTTTTCCATAATATGCATGTGGCTATTTTTTGCGTCTTTCCAAAGCATTCTTCTAACGAGCATTCTTGCTCTTTGATACCCGCCCTGTCAGATGGGCATGTGTGCTGAGAGCTCTTGACCGCTTATCTAGGTTGCACTTGAGGCAGTTACCTCAGTGCTACAGGCACGCCTATAGGTCTTAAGTATACTATAATGCAGGACCCTCTAACACTGCTAGCAGCATTTTCTTCCACCTCCAAAAGCGGAACATACAGAGTGTTTTGACATTTTCCAAGCTACTGACAAATAAGTTGTATCAAAGGGGTTTCCATCAAACACTGGCTATGTCCCTTAGGGGGTAATGATAATGACAGCACTGTGTTCGCACTAGTATGCTGTGATGCGTCGCACAATCTTGCCTTGGTCGGTTCCGGTCACTGTTTTGGTTTGATTGCTGTGATGGCTGTGCAGTTGGATATGACTGACGGAAATCTTTGAGGCAATTCGGCCTTGGCGTCCTATCGACTTGGATACTTGCTGTTGTGGATACTGCTGCAAAGACCTATTGAGGCACTGCTTGGGATGTGATTTGACAGCATACGTTTTTGATCTGGTTCTTGTGAATTGTTTCTTTGGCGCCGTGCCCCTGTTGCCACTTGCCATCTGTAGCTGCGTATTGCAAACTGGTTCGTCTCGGACTCGTAGTGCGCGCTGCCGTCACCTGGCAGTTGCGCTTAGCAGCTCCTGTTGGTGGATTGGTACTGGTTGTTGGATTTTGATCTGATTGAGTGGGTTTTGTGTTTTTATGCCTCCTGTTGGTGGATGATGACGGTAAATGAAGTTCTGTGGAACAAATGGCACAGCAGAGGGTTTGAGGCAAGACATTGTGTTTATTGGAGCACATATAGGAATTTGGTTCCTTTGTGACTCCTATGCTCAGACCTCTGTTTCTGAGTCTGTGACTTTTTGCTGTCTTGCGCAGCATCTGACTTTTGCACTTCAAGCAATTCCCTTTTCTTCCTAATTTGAGCCTCTTTGAGCGTCCAGCTCATGCTTTTCGCTTGAGAACAGCCTCCAAAGCCAAGAGTGGCAGCCCTTTCAGCTCTCTGCCTTGATACGTGCAGGAGCACGTTGTTTGACCTTGAGCAAGGACCTTGAATGGCCAGAGCTCCACCTGACACATTTGTTTTGTCACCAATGTTAGAAATACTGGTCATTTGGCCCATATTATCCAGCTCCTCATTTTGCACGTAACACATCATTTTCATTTGAGCCACTGTTATCCACAAACCTCATTTGACACATCATCGATTTCGTCATCCACAACCTTTTTGCATTTCTCCCTGTTTGCATGGAACCCATTTTTCCATTTTGTGTATTACTCCTTTAACATTTGTGCCATTTGATTTTGAAACCATTCCGTTTGGTTATAACATTTCATCAACAAAGGTTTGAACTGACTCATGCAACCTTGTAGTTTCCCAGACCACAACATTCATGTTTTGGTATTTGCATGTCAGAAACATTTCCATTTGAATCATCATTTGTTCCATCCTATTCCTTTGCCATTTTACATAATTGCGTTTTATCCAAGGATTTCCTGTCCTTTTGCATAGATAATATCTTTGCTTCCGCTGCTTTATATGTGTGTTTAGCTGTCCTTTTTACCAACCCATCCTCCTTTTCACTTTGATTGACAGCAGCGTTCATTTCTGCGTTCATTTCCTGATTTTCCTCGTTACTCATGGCCATTATTTAGCAATCCACGGAGGCTTTGTTTAGAATTACTTTATGGGATTTTCCTGTATCCCGTTGCGTGAAGGCCACTCTCCTCCGCAACCTTTCATTCATTCATAAATACTCCTACCGTGACTTTGATTGGAAAAGTCAATGAATACAGCGCTGTCCTCCTATGTCCATCCGTCTTTGGAAGCAAGTTTTTCAACAAATGTAAAGGCAACCGAACAACAAATATTTGCCAGTGAGGGATATGGTGTGAAGCTTTTCCAGACGCGTGTTGTTGACAGCAAATCAGGTCTTCTCTTTGAGTGCATTTAAGATGTTTATTTGGATTGCAGGATGATGACAGCAAAACAAGAGCTGGGTGTTTAACTGATAACTAAACAACTAACTGTGATAAAGAAATAAACCGAAATTAACTCAAAACAAACAGAAAATAAGCGAAAACACGCACGGTTGAAAAACTGTGTGGCTCCCACTGGTGATTCCCAATCCCTAATGGTGTGCACCTGTGTCCTCCCCAAATAGTAGGCTGTACTCTGAAATTGGCTGAGTCCCCGCCTATGCCCAGGTCAATTCAGTAGTATCACAGCACCTTCATATACAAATATTAAAATACATCAAATTGGCTGCAACATTACCTTTAGCAACAAAAAACAAGCTTTTGAAATATAGTTCAGTCACATGTGTTAGCCTGGCACATGGACATGTTGTTATGGGAACACAAAGTCACATGACCTGGCCCATGACCCACCAGACTGTTCAGTGTGTGTCACTTAGGGACTTCATAAGATAAAATAAAGGCTAAAACTGTATAAGGAACTTTCCAGAACATTTGAAGGTCATGTGACACCTGTGTCATGGAGGGTCCTTATGGTTAACAGTTGTTTAGCCCCTACCTTTTCTTCCATTTACACGCAGGCTAAGGTCATATCACTGTCTAAGGAAATGACAGAAATCAAAGGATTTTGTCTTGCTGTCAATGTCTGTGGCTTTATGTGAGAGACAAAGACAGGATGCAGTCAGTGCTGCGCGATGAGGATCCTCAGTTGTTTCACACTGTTGCTCTTTCTTTCTGCCAATGCAGGTAAGATGATTTACTTTTCAAAACACTTTTGAAAAACATGTTGTTGTTATTAAAGTCTGTGTGCAACATCGTTCGCTAGACCAGCTGGTTGTAAGACTTTTGTGCAGCAATAGTTTTACATTCTGCTTTCAGATCTAGATTGTTTTTGGGACATTTCTTCTTCTTTTCGACAGACAACAACGCAGTGTGGCGAGCGTCTGGCGAGAATGTCACCTTGAGGTGTTCCGTTGCAGGGTGTCCCAAGAGTAAAAGCAATAACGAGTATGATGGGATGTATCTGTATCTGAATCAATATCATGAGGAGCAGAAAGAGGTGCAATACTATCACTCAGGAACACCTGACAACATCGCCCCGAGAGATAGATACAAGGACAGGATTCAGACAAATGGATCTCTGAAGGACCACACCATCACCATCAGCCGGCTGACCGTGCACGATTCTGGCTTCTACCGATGTGTCTTCATACATTTTTCTCATGTAAGAGTCACATGCAGTGAACATACACTTTTTATAGAAGGTGGGCTTTTATTTTATTTTTTACATCAAATTTAAATTCTGTTTTTATTGTATCTTGTTCTTTCAAACATCTATATAGTTATATAATTTCTGCGTTTAGTAGATCACTTGCAACATTGTCCTGCAGTATTTTATTTCTATATGTGTTGTTTTTGCTATATTTTATTGTTTTATATCTTATGTATAATTATGTTGCATTGTTGGAGGAGTTTAGGTCTTAAGGTTTTCATAGCCCAAACTACTAAAAGGTATAGTGAGTTCAAAAAATATAAAATGTATAAAGATTCTCAACAGTATATAAAATAGGTTAACATTTCTTGTGTCCCCACTGCTGAAAGAATTGTATTTGTAAATTCAATATTCAATATTCTTATATTAATATTCATTTGAACTTTTCTTCCGAGTTTATAAAAATGTAATCCGTAGAAAAGTATTGAAGATGTAAGCCTTCTCTTTGAAACAAACTTGGCTTATTTAATGAGGGGTGGGGGTAAAATACAGAAATCACCAAGACAAAGAAATTGAACATATCCTAAATGAAAATACTCATGTTTGGCGTAAGAGTAGATGCAAATGGATGGCACAAGAACATTTTTAACATTCATCTAACTATATTTACCTGATAACACTCATAGTATAAAGTATACTTTTACTTCCCTAAAATATTTAATTGCAGTGGTTTAAGGGCTATTTAGTATTTGTACAGGGCTACATACATAACATACCAAATCACCAAATCGGCTAATTATGATTTAAAGTTGTGCTGAATATACAAGATGTTATGCTAAAGGAACATTTGCATGAAGACATTTTATTTGGTGTAACCCAGCTTGCTGTCATCCTTTAATCCAGGAGTAGCTCCATGTCCCCCAGCAGAAGTTCCTCCTGCCCTTACCTGCGAGAATCATCTTCCTCTGGTGTTAATCATTGGCGCAGCCTGCACCGTCTGCACGATCGCCACCATAATCTTCATCCTGCTGGTCGTCCCCAGGGTGAGTTCAGATATCTCTTCCAATCGCTATGGGCATGGACTAAAATCCTCTAAATGCTCTGCCATCTTCAGCCGTGGTTACTGTACCTCCTGTGTGTTGAGACATTATTCACTCTACATCAGGGGTGTCAAACTAAATTTCCTTGCGGGCCACATTAGCATTATGGTTGCACTCAAAGGGCCAGTTGTAATTTTAGGACTATATAAATATAGATATATAAATAAATGATATATATTAAATAATGTATTATATTATATGATTGGCTCTGCATTGGATTATTATCAGTTCTGGTAATAACTTCATAAATAACTACGACTGAAAGCAGAAGTCTAGGGCAAATAATTGAAAGCAAATATTCAACAATTACACCAATTGTATTGTATATAATATTCTTTGCAATTTCTTGAGGGCCACATAAAATGAGGTCGCAGGCCAGAATTGGCTTTGAGTTTGACACCCCTGCTCCATATGATTGCTTGACTGATTTCTTTATTTCCATTACATGGACACAAAATGCCCGGACCTTATCATTTTACAAGTCACCAAAAATAAAATGTCAATGTTCCTATGTTTATTGACATTTGACATAATCACAGGCTTTTCGATGCTTGGTCTTCAAACATGTATTCTGCCTTCTCTCCCAAGCTTTGTAGACATATTCCTTTACAGAAAATATACTCTAAAGCAAACCCACATTTTTTCATAGTCATTTAGCCAAGAGATATCAACATTAATGGAGGACATTACTTAAGGTACATAGACACAAAAGTAAAATAGAAAGTGAATCTTATTCTCAATTTCTCCTAACTCCCACAACATTCACAGGGTTATTAGTCATGTCTGAGTGTAACGATCTGCATAGGGATGTTTGTCTTTTACTTTAAATTATACTCGACTTAAAGTTCTGAAATCTAGCTTGTATTTTTTATTCACACCATATATCGTCCCACCATTTTTCTATATGCATAAAAAAAACGTTGCTCTTAATCTCTTCAACATAACAGCGTACTGAGTAGTGGAAAGTGAATAACAAATCATCAAACAGCCAAAACCACCTGCTGTAAACAAGATGTTCCTCTGTGATATCTGCAGCTCATGTGCCGATTACAAAGATAACCACTCTTTCACAGGAAGTGAGGACAGCTTCTTTAAATGTACTGTTTGTGTTTTATTCTGTTCAGATTTCTTCACATGTTGTCCAAAGATAAATATTACACTCTTTGTTAGAGTAGTTTCCTTACAAAAAAACCACCTTACTGACTTTTAATTTGGTAATACTTGAAACCCTCAACCATAGGGGAAACAATTACTGTAAGTGCACTGACGTGAAAAAGCACATAAAACATAATACAAGATATTCACATGTCAGTATACTCTTAAGATACTTACAGTTCATTCTTAAAATAACTTAATTTCAATCAAACTAATGTCATGTTATAAAATCACAAATGTAAAAATGAAGGAGTCCTTGGTTAATTTGTCCTATGTTTATACTGACTAGACACTGCTCTGCCTGTCTGCTTTACTTGCCTGCAGAGAGAATTCATACTGAATGTGTGAAGAACTCTTGTTTACATTACATTTAATTGCTTTGCCATTACAAAATAAAATAAAGAATAAAAACTTTGATAAGCTGGCTCCTCCAAGTCCCAAGATTGTGAACATTTGTGCATTTAATTAGTCTTAAATTTGTCTAAATTTGGTACCTAAAAAGTTCTGTAATGTAATGTCTATAGATTTTTTCTGACACACCATCATAGTATCAGGCGATCAGTGATAGTGATATTTCTCTACCAACAGGTCAGAAGATGGGTTAGCAGCAGAAGAAGAGCAAGAAGGGTCGCGCGGGTCCCGAATAATGAATACGTGTATGAAGTGATGACAGCCAGAGGCCTCCACCCTGCACTGGAGCAGTCCTCTTCGAGCACGTATACAGGAATACGCTTAGCTTAGCTTTCATCAACTATTGTTGCATTGGTGGCCAACTTCCACTTAGCATTGGTTTACTTTCATGACTACCGTTAAAATTATGAAACAAAATGTAAAGAAATTGTAAACACTGGATTATAAAATCTCTAAATGAATTGCTGTGAAAGTATTACTAAAAGCATTCTTAATTAGTATAGCTTAGTATACTTTTTAAACTTTAAAATCTGTTTGTAGGGGCATTTTTTGACAACACTTGAATACATTAACACAAGTTATATAACAAATAATATTTTAATGGCCTTCATTCAACTAATGTGTCATTATTTAAATTAACCTACATTAACATTGATATGAAACATACAATAGAATACACACTGTCTTACTGGAATTGCTTTGCCTGGTCTTTCAAGAGTTTTGCTCTAAACTCTAAATCTAAATAATTACAAATACATGTAGGCAACAAACAAAACCGAGCGCGGAAACTATATGAAGATAACAGGGGATAGACGCAGAGGAAGTTTGATTAAGACAAGGAGGCAAGACCCGTGTTTGGTTTCATTTCTGTGGCTACCCAGCAAGGCTGCTTACGGAAAAGAAAAATATCTGGGCCAGAGATTTTTGTGTGATAAAGCTTTCAAAAATACATGTAGGCACAAACGACCTACTTAACAAGAGGGGGGTGATGGGGGGATATATGTGGGTTATAGAGTTCTCACTTACTGATAAAAATCCTTCTATATATTTTTTCAGCGTACCATACTGTATGTGCGCTGGTTATGATGACTGAAATCATTTTCTTCTACAAATCATCCGTACACCAAATGAAACCTACTTCATAATTCAACATTTGTGCTTTAGAATAAAACTTCACACTGATTTTTGTAAAGATGTTTATAAACAATGTGAGTTGATTTGCTTTGACAACAAGTTGTATCTGCTCCTGTGGATTTGAAAACAAATGTAAAATATTCAATAAAAGCAACACAAAATAACTGACATTCAACGTGTGTTCCTCCTGTTGTTAAAAGTTATGTGGCCGTATGTTTACTCTTGAGTAATTTCATAGAATAAATTGTTGATCCTTTTAGTATTGAAATGGTGAGAACATGATGTAGTTCACGTGAACTTTAGACCTATCCTGTGGCAGGGTCGGCTCTAGAACAAATCGAATGGGGGGGAAATCATTTACCAAGGGGGGGCACACACTGCCGTCAACAACCAACACACAAACACCAACTTCAATTTAAAAAAACATGCTGTAAAGCCTATTGTCTTTCACACACATTGCAGGGGTGTAGTGCTATTTTATAGCGCACCTATGACTTGTGCATACATGCACGGTTGTGGCACGATCTAACAAAACAAAGGTCGGGGGTCATTGGTCAAGCAACACACCAATCAGAGAGCAGCAGTGAGCACATCTCAGGCTGTGTTTTATATTTGTATTCTTTATTTCTGATGTATTTCACACAAAAAATCTTTAGTGGAAACTTTTCACTTATATGATTAAAAAAACAAAACGGCAAAGTGGCAAGTCTTGCCCACCCTGTGTTGGGGGGGCACAGTGACTCATTTGGGGGGGCATGGCCTGGGAATGATGCCGACCCTGTACTGTGGTATTCACACATTTAACCACTTCCCCTAACAAGAATGAGAGGTGTGAGTGTTTAGAGCTATAACTCAAATGTGCTTGCTATTTAAAAGTGTTCTATTTTCTTCGTATCTATACTGTAACAACACCCACACCACAATAACACCAGATGAACTAAAACTGACAAGCCCTTTTAATAATAAAAACAGGCTACATCTTTTTATGGACACTGTTGTTTTCTTATAGATAATACTGTACATAACACACGCTTTGCTAAAAATGTGTGAAAATACTTTTATACACTGGCAAGCTTTGAATAGCTTTATATAGGCCCTCTTAATATCACTGATCTTTTGTTCAAAATAGCTTTATATGTAAGCCATCTTAATATCACTGATCTTTTGTTCAAAATAGCTTTATATGTAAGCCATCTTAATATCACTGATCTTTTGTCCGAAAAGCAAACCGTCCTGAAATGGTCAAGTGCAACATGTAAACACAGATAGAGATGTTTTGCCTTTTGTAACTTGAATAGCTGAGTCCTTATTACGTGGCAGCAATAGTCAATCAGAGTGGCCAACTTTTTATATTTTTGTGCAGGGATATAAAGAGTTTAGTTATCTATAATTCATTGCTAAAAAGGTTATTCTTTGGTTGTCTTAGAAATAACTTTAAAAATATGTACTCAGTGTATTGATGCTGTGTGATTGAGGTCAATGCTCTTTTATCACAACTTGTTTGATCAAGTACAGATTGTTTAATCTAAATCCTTTACTGAGTGTGCCTTTGAGCCCTAGACTCTAGGGTATCTTGTGAATTTACTCCAGGAGTAACTATAAAGTCTGATTTAAGACTTGATTATATTTATCATCATTAATCAGAATCTGTAGTAAGTAACTAAAGGTAGCGTATTAAATAAATGTACGGGAGTAGGCTACAATTACACAATTTACCTCTGAATTGTAGTGGGGTAAGTACTAAGTAACATACCATTTACATACTCAACTAAAGCACAAGTAGGTTATTTCTAAATCACAAGTACAGTATTTGAGTATACAAGTTAGCCTATTTCCCACCTCTGGTCAACAATGTTAGATCTTTATGTCAACTTACTAATAATATATCTTTAGTATTATCATAAAAATAGCACGTTTATTTATTTTAAAAAACCACGTTCTCCAAGTAAAATCTATAGAACATATAATGTTTAATCTTTTTGAAAAATAGAGATCGGACCATCAGTAACAGATCATCAGTCTTGTGTACAGATCAGTTCGATAAAGCAACATGCCAAAACAGCGACATTTTACGCGATAAATACGGGTTTAAATATCAGCATTTGCCACGGAAGGCGAGTGGCAGCTACCATAAACCTCCTCTTAACTTGTGGCATTTACTTGCCACGGCAAGTTGTGGCATATCTAAGTTGTGGCA